GTATTGGAACCAGCATATACGGACGGGTTTTTATTGAAGCATCTGGGTCTCTCTGCCTCGATCTTGAGTATTGGGTATTCAGAGCATGAAATAGAAACAGCATTGTCCAGAACCATGAGAATAAAGGTGACACAGATCCAAATCGTGATGTTTTCTTTTGATTCAACTGAATCCCAAGTGCAGCAGGCTCTGATGCTTTACCATTGGAAGTTCTTCTATGAAGGTATGGTGTAATGATTGCATTTGGATGTTTATTTTTGCATTGAGAGAATAATCGTGCACTTCTACCCACTAGGTTCAAACACTCTGCCAACTCTCTAGTTAACTTGCACCCAGAGAACTATAGCAGAGGCTAGTCCTGGTATGTGTGTTTATGAAACATGGTTCACCCAGTTAGATGTGATCTGGATTTGGCGACTGGAGCTGGTGTACCCCAGTTGTAACAGGAGAAGTTCTGTTACTTTTCCTTTTCTTCTCTGAGTAGCTCTTGTAGTCTTGTCACTGTTCTTAAGCATCATGTCACTGCGAGTGGGAGAAATGACCCTCAGGAAGCATATAGTAATGGTAGCCAACAGTTGGCCTGTGGTCAGTGAAGGTGCACACTGAGATTTTAAGTTCTCCAGATTTTTTAAGAGGGAGAGTTCCCTTGGGCTGCATGTTTTCTCGGTCCTTGCCCCTCATCTCTTCATTTCATGTGTAGTTTCCACCTACAAATAGAGAGAAAGGCACACCAGTGGGGCTAACAGGTCTTGTGGACCCTCTTTCTGACTCTGGTACTCAATGCTCCAGGGGGGTATCTTTTTTTCTCCAGAGACCTGTCAGATATACCTCTACCTTTATTGTTTGACTTGGCTGCATTCCCATAAGTGTGTGCAACATGTAAGGTACAGAAACCTATCATGGTTTTAGACTTTTAGTTTGTTTTGAAGTCATAGTGTGTTTTCCGACCTTGATTTGCTCAGATTCGTAATCTCCCCTGTGGGCTGTATAAATGTCCAATTTTGAGCTCTGGTGGAAGACACAAAGTAAATAAGATGATTTTGTTTAGTTAAAAAATTTTAATACAAAGGGAAACTTTATATATACAGTCTCAAAAATCCCAGACCTTGGGACATTTGTAATAGAAATCTGCCCAGTAATTACTGTTTTTGAAAAATTCTGGCAGACACTTAAATTTTACCAGCTGCAAGGTGAATAAAACATTGAGTTTCTTGGCTAGCATTAGAGTGTATCAGTCAGCGTGGTAACTCTAGTTCTCATGCTGATAAAAAAAAAAAAACCTCTGATTCACAATTAAATATTTATTTCGCAGATTAAATGTTTGAAATTGAACTTTCCTTCATGAATGCTGTTTGGTAGATTAAAGCCTTTGAAAATATGGACCCTGGGAGGAGAAGTCTGGTGGCAGCTAAGTCTGCAGAGGTCCTAGCGGCCATGAGTGACATCGTGTGAAGAGGTGCTGTGGGTCTCTGAACCGCTTTGTTGCTCTCTGCTGAGGCCTGTTGTTGTACGCATCTTGGGTTATAAATGGCAGGATTCATGAGTGGAAAGGCAGGAATTTGGGACTGTTTTCAGGTCATTTTAATGTCGAGTGTAATTTTTTTAAGATGTTGACGGTTTTCCTAAAGTGGCATAAAACCAAGTGTGTTTGTGTGTGTGAGAGAGAGATAGAGACTGTGGTTTGCGGGGGGCGGTCAGAGAAAGCATGCAGCATGCACTAGGCATTATTATGTCACATTAGAATGTTAAATGGTTAAATGTTAATGGTTAAAGAGCCAGCGTGACTCTTAAGTGATAAGTAGGTGGGGGCAAGTATTTATGTACATAAATTGAGTATAAGAATCACTCCTCTGGGAGTGGAGATGCCTTGACTTTAGGTAAATCGCCTCCCCTCACTGGTCAGCCCCCAGATAAAGGGGTGGGGGGATGAAGAAGATGAACAATAAATCTTTTAAGGTTGCTTTGGCCTCTTCAGAGGTGTGATTCTAATTAACCTTCTGTGTTTCCAGTGCACAAGTTTTGAAAAAAAAAACTTAAAGTCAAGTAACCTGAGTTTCACTGTTTTGCAAATGGCTTCTTCTTAAATGTTGATTAAATGTTAAATGTGATACTATCTTATTCTAGTCCAGATCGAACAAATCAAGAAAGAATCAAGATAAATTTTGAAAGATCCAAATGATCATTCAATACCCAGGTAGAATCTTTTTATACTTAAAATGTGTACAAAATGGCTCACAATGACCATCAGTATGACTTGTTACTCCACCCCTGGGTCATGAGGAACATAAGCTGGTGTGTGAGGAAAACACAGAGCATGGGGGGGGGGGCGGCGGGGAAATAAAACTTCTGGTATCATGAGACATCCAGTAATACCTGTGAAGTCACTTTTGGGTTTCTAGGGAGCACACGAGGGAACCATGAAGATTAGGGTCACCTAGGCAGTCGTTAACCAAAATAGCTGTTGTTGCTGACAGTGAAGTTCGTTAGGCTGGAGCCATTTGCTTAAATCAGGAACGACAACGAAAGCAGTGTCAGGGCTGGCAGATGTTGGGGACAATTACACAAAGAACAGGTTCGTGAGAACAGGGGTGAAAGGAAGTGGCCTGTTTTGGGCGGGGCTGCCACGTGAACCAGCTCCCCACTTGCTCCGGACTGTGGCTCCCCCAGGCCTTCCCAGCCCACCATCTTTGCTGCCTTGTTTTGAATTCATTTTACAGCATCAAAGGTACGATGAGACACTGTGTTTTGCAACTTGTCTTGAGTCTGCCATTTTGAATGGAGCCAATTTTCACATAAGTAGCGGTGCTAATTACTAACCCTGTCCAAATTTAGAGGAACTTCCAGAGCTTTTCAAAACCTATTCAGATTATAGGCCTCATTTAAGCCGTTCAAGCAGGAATTACAGTAGTAACTTCTAACATGTAGAAGCAGAGGCCTCAAAGCTTGACAGGCTCCAGGGTCCCACTCTAGAACTGTTACTGTTTCTAACAGAAATTGCATTGTTGCTAACAGAAGCGAAGTTTACTTTTATGTTTACAATATCACTTGACTATATTAAAAAAAAAAAGAAGATCGTTAAAAAGCTATCTTTGAATGGCTGAGCAGTTTGGATGCCCAGCGCTGGTTACAGCAGGAAGGCTTCGAAGGTGACCCTGTGGAGAGAGACTTCACTTTAAAGTTGCCAGTGGATACCAAGTCTGTGCCACATTCTTCTGGGCCCTGGGGCAGATGTAAAGTTGAGTGCTCTATGGTGCTGCCCTCAGTGCATCAGGTCAGAGTCTGGACGAGGAGACTTTGGAGAGCTGATAAGATCTAGAACACGGGCAGGTGCACTGGAACACTGTTTACACCTGAGTGCACGCTGCTATTCCCCTCCCGTGGCTCCGCTTTTTGGAGTGCACGTTAGCACTTCCAGGAGTTTGGTTAAGTCTCCTGTGTCCTATCAGCCAGGGGGTCTGGGTCGGAGGGGTTAGTTTTTAGCAGACACTTACCACGGTCTTCAGTGGAGGGATCTGGCCAGGTCACCTTTCAGCCCCACACACTGTGCTAAAGACATTACTCTGAGCTACTCTGTATTGAATCACACGAGTCCCTCCCTCTGCTTTTATGTAAGCCTCCTGCATTTGTGTAGCTTGACCGGTCATGAATCAAAGCTCAGCTCGCCTCACTGTCAGCCCCTGCAGTGGGCAAAGAGGCCTCAGATGGCCCCCTGGTCCCCAGTTTGATTTCCTCCTGTGTGTAGTTGAGCTGGGAATGTTCCCATGGTGGGGTCCACAGTTTTCATGAGGGAACTTAGAGACCCAGCCACCTGGCTGACTACCTTGGGCTGGTTAGGAGCGAAGTCACCCCTTCTCTCCCCTCCCAACCCCGCTTTTAAAAATTTGCTTCTGGTACATGCCATTGCTTTAGAGGTGGTCTGACTTAAAGGTTTCCCCCAGCCCCTTCTTTTTTAAATTGTGGCAGAGAAAGGTAACATAATTGTCTGTTGGCCCTGGACACCCCACTGGTAGTTCTCCAGCCTCTCTCAGAAATTGGGGTTATCTGGGCTTTGTGCAGGAGATTTTTGCACAGCTCCTTCAGTATTGTTCAAGGCAGTAACACATCACTGAACAAATTGCCCCCTTGCGTATGCTAATCATGTACTTAAAAGGACTCATTGTAACATGTTCAGATGCTTTAGCCTGAGGGGAGATGGGAATTGAAGGGATGTCAGATCATGTCATGTGACCCCCCAAATATCGAAAATGCCTGTTTTCTTTGGGTCAACAGTTCGTACTCAGCACATGGGAAGGAAGGATCCTGTGTGGTTGGTAGAAAAGATTAGTCCTTGTTCCTGCTTTTGTGTGGGGGGAGCTGGCCTCGCTGTTGAAGATTCCCTGGCTGAAATACTCGCTTCGGGTCTTGAATTTCAGTGCTATTGGCGAGGAACACCAAATCTTATTTCCAACAGCAAATTAAAAGAATTCAAAAGAGTTCCTTCATTGTTGCTGTGGAGAATGTTATTTGCCTTTTAGGAAGCCATGCTGTTAATCCCACCTGCTCTCTGTGTGTCTTTTTCGAGGGGCACACACTGTCACAGTCACAGAATACGCCTGATAGAATAATCTCAGGGTTCCGCTCCTAGGCCGTTTACATTCCTGGCCAGGAAATCGCAGTGGGAAAGAATAAAAACACATCCACCTGTAAACAGCAAGCTCCCATCTCTCTAACAGTAAAAAGAGAATGGAAGAGCATTTTGAGTGAGTAGGGCCTGAAGGATCCACCAGGCTCTGGATGGCTTCATTGCATAGTCAGGGTCTCCCTTTTAAGCGCTTACACCTCTCTAAATGTTTGCCATCAAAGTCTTCAGATGAGATGAATTACATGGAGTCAAAGTTGGTGTAGGTATCACCTTTCTTAAAATAGCTATCACTTCCAGGTTGGGTTTTCATGTGTACAAAGAGACCTGGGAAGGAATCTTTGATTAATTTTTTTTCTTTTTTTGTGTGTGTGTCTTACAGAGTAATTCCCTCTTGGTCCCAGACAGTCTAAGGGGCACAGATAAACGCAGAAATGGACCTGAATTTTCCAATGACATCAAAAAAAGAAAGGTGGATGATAAGGACTCCAGCCACTATGTAAGTAAATAAAGGACTTGAAACAGTATTTGTTTGCTTACTTGTTCACCTTCTAAGTGAGCATACAAGCATACTCGAAGATCATAGTGATAATTCCACATCCTTTAAAATAATACTATCAAGAGGATAGGTTCTTAGAAGGGTACTATTTCCCTCTAGAGCTGTGAACTCTGCTCGGTCAGGCTCACGATGACCTTTTAGGCCTCCTGCCTAAGTTCCTCATAAGAGGGGATAGCAGCGTGCAGGGGCCGGACCTCCAGCCTGTGCATTTGCATGGGGCCCTGCTCTTAAAGGGACTTTGCCCGTGGTTTGACGCTCTGTCCTCACCATCTTCAAATTCTCAGTTTTTGAACCAGGGCCTGCATTGTCATCTGTCCTGGGTCCTGCAAATTTGGTAGCCCGTCCTGCTAAAATAACCAGGCTAAAAACATGGCTGTCACAGAGTACCTTTTTGGATGCTATTCTGTTGACTTATTCAGGCTCATGTTCGGTCTTGAGGCAGAGTTCATCCTCTTGAACAGCGAGCAGTTTGGCTAGGTAAGTCCATGGTAAAAACGGAAAAAACCTTGGAAGCATCTAGATCAGACCCCGCAGATTGAGAATGCATGACTGTGAAGGGAGGGCTCTTGACTCACACCTAGCTGGAACCACATTTCATGAGGAGAGCAAAACCAAGCCAAATGGCAATTGGCTCGAGTCTGAGGGTCATCAGCATTGCAGCTGATAAATGACTTGGAGTTTTCTTGTGTATCCCCAAGTGTGTCTATTTCAAGACAGACACATTCTCGGGAACAGGATGAGAGTAGAACCTGGGATTAGCCCACTTCCTGTTGCTTATGGAAAAAGCGGCTGGCGGGTCGGCAAGATGGGGGTTACATGCGAGGCCCCTCTGCCTCCTGCTGGCTGGTTCAAGCCAATAGCTAACAGTCTCTAGTATTTCCTCAGCGACAGCTTGTTCGTGCCACATACCACGTGCTTTTACATGGATTTTTTCATTTGACTCTTCAAACATTTCTGTGAATTCAGTACCGTCACCTCCATTGTAGATAAAGAAACTGAAGCACAGAACTTGTGATTTGTCCCAAGTTCAGAGTTAGTGGTGGAACCTGGAGGCAGTCTAACTCCAGAATCCATGCTCTTGATCACTATGCCAGGATCCCCAAGCTGAGGGCCTCAGAGAGGGTTTTTTTTAAGATTTTATTTATTTATTTATTTATTTATTTGAGAGAGAGGGTTAGTTAGCCAGAGAGAGCACAAGCAGGGAGGAGAGGGAGCGAGTGGGCAGCCTGACGTGGGGCTCGATCCCAAAACCCCGGGATCATGACCTGAGCTGAAGGCAGACTCCTTACCGACTAAGCCACCCAGGCGCCTCTTGGAGAGGGTATTTTGCCAGAGGTCCTTGTAATGGTCCACACTCTGCACTGTGATAACATTCTGAGAACTTGGAGTTGTAGGTTCTCCCCATTCCAGTCCAAGGCTTTGTAGCACATAATGTTTGCCCCTCACCTTTGCCCACAGCCGGTTTCCACTGCAGGTACTTTTATATATGGCATCAACTGTTAATAAGCTATTCAAAATGTCCATGACGTGCAGAAATTCGGAAGTTGCCGGTAATACAATTTTGAGTTGTTGTGCATGAGGCTCGTGTAGATATTTAGTGGTGAGTGATCTAGAATCCATAGCTCTGCATTACTGTTTTATAACCTGCTCATATTAAGTATGTCCAGATGTATAGGTAGTTTGAGGGTGATGTATTGAGTTGATGTTGGAGAATCTGGGGCAAAGTCCTCAGACCTTAGCTCTCCAGTGACCAGCCTACACTGTAGTGTGAGGGTTCACATTTGCAGAAGGGTCCAAAACAAATCTAAGATTGAAATTACAGACTACTCAAAAACTCACTTCATAGTCCCATCATAATAAATGAGCTGTTTGCTTCTTCTTGCTAGTTTGTATACTATGTGAACCTTTTTAATAAATTTTTTTGTAAGAAAACCTTTTGGATTATATTTTTTTTCACCACCACCATCTTTGGGTTCTTTTTTTTAAGATTTTATTTATTTATTTGTCAGAGAGAGAGAGCACAAGCAGGGGGAATGGCAGAGGGAAAAGCAGGCTTCCCTGCTAAGCAAGGAGCCCGATGCGGGACTGGATCCCCGGACCCTGGGATCATGACCTTAGCCGAAAGCAGACACTTAACCAACTGAGCCACCCAGGCATCCCATTTTTTTTTAATATTTATTTTATTTAATCTCTACCCCCAATGTGGGATTCGAATTCACAACCCCAAGTTCAAGAGTTGCATGCTCTTTCAACTGAGCCAGCCAGGCAACCCCCGTCTTTGTGTTCTTTTTTTTTTCTTTTTAAAGATTTTATTTATTTGAGAGAAAGAGAGATTGGAGAGAGTACAAGCAGGGGGAACAGCAGAGGGAGAGGAAGAAGCAGGCTCCCCCCTGAGCAGGGAGCCCAATGCAGGACTCAGTCCCAGGACCCTGAGATCATGACCTGAGCTGAAGACGGACGCTTAACTGACTGAGCCACCCAGGCGCCTCTGTCTTTGTGTTCTTAACACCTGAAAACGTTTGTGCTTTTCTGTGGTCTTTACTAACAGAAAAAGCAAATCTTTAGTTTTATTTTTTTCATTTATTACATGAAAATATTTCTTTCAGTAGGCTGTTATTTTGAGTTACCCAGGCTTCCTCGTTGGTTATAATTTTATGTTGTTGTAGTGAATTGCATGGTGCCTTAACAACAGTGATTAAATTAAATCTAGTAACATCCTATTGAAGAAAGTAAATTGGGTCTTCCACATGTAAAACTCTAGGTATAGTTAGAAAAAAACATGTAAAAGATACGAATTTAAAGTTGAGGGTAGTGCCCGGCTAGCTCAGTCGGTAGAGCATGAGACTCTTAAAGTTGAGGGTAACTTTCTAGCTGGACTTGGAGGCCCCACAGAAAGCCAACATGGCTCATATTTGCACGTGTACTTATTAGTACAAATTGTCAGACCTTCATGTATTTGTAATTGACAGTGATTCAGTAAAAGGATTGTGTAGATCATAAATTAGTGACCTACTCCTTTTTGAGAATTAGGTGAGATCCTACTTCTTTCATAGGCTCATTGTATCACTCTGTACTAAAGGACAGGAGGCCTTTTGGTCTTTTTCAGTGTGCCCTAAACTCAGTGTAGGAGTGAGCACATAGTTGAATAGCTTTTCTAAAGCTTTTTCAAACTTAGGACAACCTTGCAGTTTCCTGGGTTAGCGAATTTTACAGCTTTATGAAGAGGGAATACGAGCCCTCCTGCAGGATGCGAGTGCCTTCCAGATTTTGCCATCCCGTGTTCTTCCATCTCTCCTAAAATATTCCATGCTGATTGCAAAAGATTTTTATTCTTAACATAAGGTTAGATCTTGGTACGTTATCCCAATCAAGTTGATAGCTTTGTTGTTTTTGGTTTTTAGTGTTCCTTTTTTTTCTTTCAGTAATGAGTAACCCCATGGGAACATGGTTGAAGTTTCTCTTTATAATTACAAATTGTGAACACTAGATTTGTTGGCTGTCTTCAAGATGATACACACAAAGCAATGACATGAAGTCATGTTCTTAATTTGAAATCATGTTCTTAATTTGACATCCAGTGGGAAAAGAGCCCTGATAGAAGGCCATGGGCAGATTTCAGATTATAAGAGATGCACCTGTTGCAAACATTCATTGAGCTCTTACTGTGCACCCAGTGTTTGCAACTTGCTCTCACCTGAATGATCTATAGCAGGTATTCTGCAACAGTCCCTCCCTGTGGCTTTGGGTAGCCCCATGTCAGGTAAGGGGGGGGAAGGCAATCTGGCAATCTGGAAGGGGACCTGTAGGCATGTCCCGGGCCATTTTTTCAGTGTGTCTGCTACCAAGAACTATAGGAATTGAACTGGGCCTCCAACCCTTTAATAAACGGCATGAACATCTTTTTTTCCAGGATAGCGATGGTGACAAAAGCGATGACAACTTAGTTGTGGATGTGTCTAATGAGGTAACCACACATTTTCTCAAACTTTATTTTCAGGGTGACTTATGAGAAACAGAAAGTAGAGCCATGGTATTTTGGTTTCTCACAACTTTGCACATTAAAAACTTAGTGGTTGTTCATAGATGGAGCAATAGTGGTCTGACAAGAACTTTGGTTTCCTTTAAAAAAAAAAAATCTATTTTCCCAGTCATTTCGGATTCCTAAGTTGGGTGGCTGGTGCTCCTTTCCTTCCTGTGCCCTCTGGGCAAAGTATTTGAGCATGAGGACGCTTAGGATTGTTCCTGGATGTGCTTTCCTCTGTGCTGTCTTCACGGTGTGTTTGCAAACACCATCCTGTTAATTATAACAACATTGCTAGTCAGGGGGCACACTCCCAAGTCCCCCAGATCTGAAGGACTTAGAGTGGCCTCCTTTAATTTAGAGAATTAGTGTGGAAATAGAGTCCGTAAAGGGCAAGGTCCGTCTGTTATGAGTGAAATCACACAAGCTTTGCTTATACTTGTCGAGGACCCTTCTTCTCCGCGAGCAAGCCCTGCCCATTCACCCAGGGAAAATGGGATCGACAAAAACCGCCTGCTGAAGAAAGATGCCTCCAGCAGCCCAGCGTCCACGGCCTCTTCGGGAAGCTCCACTTCTTTGAAATCCAAAGAAATGAGCTTGGTAGGTCTCCTGAGCCGTCACTTTGCCCATGCAGCAGTGTATTTTTCTTAGCGGTTCAGAGAACCCGAAAGTATTTGAAATGTGGGCTTTTACGGAGTGAGAGGTATATTTTTAAGTTTAAAAGTGAGACAACTCCTCCTGCTCTTTGTCCCACATGGTGTTTCCTTTCTCCCTCTCGGTAGTGTGTCTTGGGCCGTGATTCGAGAGAGACAGCAAGCTTCCATGTCCATTGCTTTCTTATTTGGGGGATGTGCAACCTCATAGGAAATTGAAGTCCTGAGTTTACCTTATTTTAGACTGACCCACTGTGTCGGGGCATGTTGGGATTGGGTTTGGAGTCAGAATGGGGATGTACTCACGCAGCCTCCAGAGAAGCCTGGAGCAGGTGCAGGGAGGGTGGAGCCTCCGAGCCTGCTTTCAGCCATTCAGCAAATAGTGTGGAGCGTGTCCTCTCTTAACTCACAAAAACCGAGCCATAATGGTCCTGCATTTGATTCGTATACAGCCTTCCTAGGCATTATCCCATTTCACCGAAGGGGAGGAAAGCCTGAGGAGCTTGCCAAGTTTACACTGCCCATCAGATCCAAGGCCACAGGGAGCTGCGGTCTCTCCCTAGCCCCATGCATGCTGTTTGCTGCTCCACGGCGCTCCTCAGACTGGGATTTAAAGGAATGAAAGGTTGAGATGCAGAGGATGATGCCCCGGGACCCTGTTACTGTCACACTCCTGAAGGCCTCTGTGCTAATGGGTCCACATCCATTATGTAGGCAAGTGGTGGCAGTGCTTAACTCCACACACATCTCTCAGACGGATAGAATCCTTCTAGGGCTTTTGCCTTTGAGATGCTGGTTTGTTTCTCAACAAATCCACGGCCCTGCTGCCTCTCACCGTTAGTCTCAATCCCATTGCCACTAAAAGGCAAGATTAGAAAAGAGATCCTCCCTCTGACATTCTTGGTGACCCAGCCATTTGTTTCTGAGTGACTGGGAATTTTTCGCTGGGTGGTCATCGTTCTGACTTGGCCTGGATCCAAAGTCCACACGCCTGATGGAAAAATACTTTTTAAAATAAAATCTGGAGGAAGAAGTGTGATCATGTTCTGTGTCTCTAGCTAGAGTTTTAATTCTGGCAGGAAGAGGAAAGGTCAACATTTCTCGCTCACAAGTTAATGCTGTCAACATTGTGTGGATTTATGAAAATTGGCTGAGGGAGTAGCTAGAAGGTGCCCAGTGTCCCAGCTGCTGTTGTGATAAATTGTGTAATATGGCTTGGATTAAAAATAATACTCATTTAATTTGTTTAATGATACCAGCATGAAAAAGCCAGCACGCCTGTTCTGAAATCCAGCACACCGACGCCTCGGAGCGACATGCCAACGCCGGGCACCAGTGCCGCTCCAGGACTCCGTCCAGGCCTCGGCAAGCCTCCAGCCATGGACCCCCTCGTTAACCAAGCGGGTAGAGCCTCGCCTCTTGTTGTGCTTTGTTTTGTTTTTCCCTTTCTGGGCTTGACTCGTCGTCTGTGCACTCCTGACGCCATTTCCCCGTGAATATGAGACGCACTCAACTGCCTGCCTCCTTCCTATCCCTGAAAAGCCATGATAAGAAACAGATGTTTGTCCTTAGGTTCAGCAGCTGCACCCTGTTCGGTCTCCGACTGTTTACATTTGGCTCTCTTTCTCCCCACCCCCCCATAATCCAAATCCTAGGGACTTCAGTAAAGTTTCCGATAATTACTCCGCCCGTAAGCTCCTTACAAAACTGTCACTGCATGTCTGAGTTCCCTAATACTGACCGGAACGGCCAGCCCACGTGTGCTTCTTGCTTACTTGAGTTGGCCGGGTTTCTCCCGGTCCATCCCTCAAGAATCTGTGGTCTCTCTGTCAGTAGAACCTGGGAGGGTTTCACTGAGACTCTAGCCTGTGAATCAACTGGTAACTTCTAACTTTCTCTTCCTTAACACCTTGGGCGCAGAGGAAAATAAGCCCCAGAATATTCCTCCTAAACCCAGGCTTTGGTTTAGGCAATAAATCCAGGGTCAGGTTTTCATCTGGAATTGGTAGCAGGGAATGAAAAGGAGAAATCTTGGATTTTATCAAAACCTTCTTTTGAGATTAAGTCAGGTAAACAGGTAGTGAGTGCCCTGTGCCTTGGTTTGCCTTCTGTGAATTGGGTACAGTGCTGCTGTTTAATTTTAATTGCCCGGTTTCCCAGTGCTGCCAAGCCAAGGATGAAGCGCGTGGGCAGTGCTTCTCCTGGGGTCCGTTCTCCCCTGGAGATGAATTCGGCTGAGTTGCTGGTGATGAAACCACCCCCCTCCCCCCCACACACACACCTCACCCAAGCCTTCCTCCCTGTCCTCGCCCCTCATGAATGGCACTAGAAGTGACTCTGGAACTGACGTTCAGGCTGAGTCACATCACACGGCTTGTGCTTCCTTTCAGCCGCCGGCCTGAGGACGCCGCTGGCGGTGCCCGGCCCGTACCCCGCCCCGTTCGGGATGGTGCCCCACGCCGGCATGAATGGCGAGCTGACCAGCCCCGGCGCCGCCTACGCCAGCCTGCACAACATGTCCCCGCAGATGAGTGCAGCTGCTGCCGCCGCCGCCGTGGTGGCCTATGGGCGCTCCCCGATGGTAGGTGCTGCGGGCAGGCCAGGGCCGGGACCCCCGCCCACGCCTGCGAACAGAGCCCCAGTGTCCCTGAGCCTGCCCTCTGCCATCAGCATGCCGCTGCATTAAGTTAGGGCGCAGCGCTTCTGGGTTTGCTGTTTTTGTGGATGAAACAAGGCAGTGTTTAGGAGCTACTTTGGCGGTTCAGGGGACATCTGGTTTTCTCCCCCCAAGTAGATTTTTTTTTTGGAAGGCAGTGGAATGACTCAAGTAGCTCACAGAAGCCTTTTCATTCATTTTCTTGAGGGTTTTTATTTTCCCCTCTTTAATTCTTAGGAAAAACTATTTGAGAAGCTGTAATGTTTTCTTTCCGTGTCTATATTATCCTTTAAACCCAACAGTGTGACTCAGGTGTAAGCAGTGATCTGAAGGCAACAACGAGAAAACAGAGGTGACTGAACCCTGGGGCAGCTTGCCCATCTTCTTGCCCAGCCTTTTGTGACTATGTAAATAGCCTCATTTTTGACCGGAAAGATACAAAACTATGCAAAGGGCAAAATCGACTGTAATCCTCAATTGCATCCGGGAAAGGAAACAGATGATAACCTGTATCAAATAGAAGTCCCTATATATTTCTCTTGGCTATTTAGAATGCGTCATGTTCAGTTTTCTCCTCTCCCCTTTTCAGATGGCATGATCTCCAGTAGTTTGGGCTGATAGTGAAGTTTGTGGGTTTTTTCCCCTCATGTCGCACTAGTAAGAAAGGCTGTGCACTGGGGACAAGATAGTTCAAAGCAAAGTGGGCAGCTAAGGGACTAGATAACCTTCATTAGGGCATGAGTGTTTAAGCAGTAACTTAGGCCAGTGGTATGAAACTGGGGGCGATTTTGTCCCCCTAGGGACATCTGGTAATATGTGGAGACACTTTTTTTTTTTTTTTAAAGATTTTATTTATTTGACAGAGAGAGAGA